GAAAAGTTATTATTCTAGAGCTCCGACACATTGAAATTAACACTTTTTATAGAGGAACAATTAGCTTAGTTAGCAAAAACTTGTGCTATAACTCATCTTTTGACCTAGTCGAGAGCCTTATCGGGCCGCCATTTTAATGTCACACAACGCATAAACTTGGAAATTCAAACGTGCCCTATTTCAAAATGAGAAACCCTGTCAAGCTTAAACGCTGCAAAACGTCAAGTTTTTAGAGGGTCTTTCATCTGATGAAACTAAAACTTCAGAAGGATTGGTAATTTTGGAAAATGATGACGTCTCATGAAAAGCAGCAATACCAAAACAAAATGAGCAAAAACAATGAGCAGACATACCTGTCCTTTTCCCAGAAATAGCAAGCATGCATTTGCCAAGTCACCAGACAAGGGCAACACACTATCGAATAAAAAAGAACATTACCAAAGTGAACAACATGTATCTCAAATAACAACCATTGATACATATACTAATTGCATATAGTATAATGTTGAGCTTTGTGATCTGTCCCACTCAAATTTGCCTCAGTAGCATCAGGATCGACTTTAGCCTTCTTTTTTGGCAGCATTTGAATTCACCTTGTAGCAACAAACAGCATGGTAACCATTCAACCATGAAAGTTCCTGAAGTTATAGTCATTTGTAAATAGTTAGGAATCCGAAACACCTGTGAATCCAAGTTCTCTAAAATTGAAGAACCCAGACACATTTACGAATCTGAAAAAATCTCCTCTAGTGTAAACCTAGTCTGGGGGGAAGGTTTGAAAGAGTCCAGAGTTAAGAAAGTATCTGGTCACTTTGCTTAACGGCTAGATCACTCCAAGTCAGTTCATCCCAACGCACATGTAGATTATCCCTTGTTCTTTTATTCACTGCCAAGCCAAATTCGGTCAGATCTAGATTTTGGTTGGAGGAAACTAACTTAAAGCGATCTAACCAGGGAGCGAAATGACCACAATTTGTTAAGAAGTACAGGGCTTCTGGAGGGGTCTGGGGTGGTAGGAAGCTACAGTATTTCTACAAATATAACAATACACATTTTTGGTAAGGCAGGTGGGGGTAAATTATGGTGTAAAATAACAACTTCATATTACACTTCTTCATCGTTTATCCAAATCTTAGAAAGTTATTTTCTTCATAAAGCCTTATCAGTCTTTAATCAAGTGTGAAGATTGCAGGATGCGAAATAAAAATGTACGTGTACGAAAGTAACTCGCAATGAGATTCGGAGGGGGGTTTTAAAATTAGGTCTTAGTTTTTGAGATTCGGAGGGGGTCTTAGGTCTTAGTTTTTGAGATTCGAAGGGGGTCTTAGGTCTTAGTTTTTCGGATTCGGAGGGGTCTCAGGTCTCAGGTCTCAGGTCTTAGGTCTTAGATTTTAGGTCTCAGGTCTTAGTTTTTGAGACACCCTGCACTGGAAGACTAGAAAATTATATTTTGTAGCTAGCACTTACCTTTTTAGAGTCAAGTTCGAGGCTTTTAACTCGCACTCTACAACATGTTTTCTCAAAGTCCTTTCTGCTTTGGAACTTTCACTGCCTTTTCTGATTCGCTTACTGCTCCTCTTTTGTTCCGCAGCATGCGGCGTTAAGCTCCGTTTCCTTCGCCCACCAGGCATTTCGAATATTAATAAATGCAGCTAGCTAGCCAAGTTTTCTTATTTCAAGAGGTTCGAAGATGACCATCACTGCCGCCATCTTGGAAGTTGCCTCGCCCCATTCCCAACCGTCTGATGGTTTGCTGCTGATTTAGCAAATAATTGACGTCATGTTAAGTGCTCAGAGCGACCTGAATCGAAGTGTGAATATAGGGTGATCTTTGCCGTTTTTAAAAATTTTTCTCGTTAATATACGACTTTGCGCAATTTTACATGCAAATTGACTACAAACATTTAAAGAGCTTGTGAAACCTGGTATAGCCAATGAAAATTTTGGCTCTTTGGGTGTAATATACCAGGACAAATTAGCTTTCTAGTTGCAGCAATGCCTGAAAGAGAGAGAGCCACAACGTAACTGGACTAGAAGTGTGTAATGTCACACGTTGCACAATGCGCTGGGAAGCTAAACTTTTTTGTTGGTTTATGAGAAGTTTAATTTCAAGCTTGTTCCCTACCTGGGGGCAGCCCCAGGGGAGAGGGGGAGGGGGGGGGGGGGGGGGGGGGGAGGGGCTCCCATATTAATAGAACAGAAGTGCTTGTCAGAAATTTGGAAAAGAACCTCCATGAAGTACCAAGATCCTGTTTTGTGGGCATCTTAATTTTTTTTTTCTCTCCTAAGAGGTACCAATTCTAGAACACATTATCTCCTATCATTTTTTTTTCTGCTCAATCCCCTAAAACATATTGCAATAAGCTCCTGCTGTAGATATTTTGAGGCTTATCTCCCTAAGAGTTACCAAAACTGCTTTTTAAACCCCTTAAAGGTACGACAAGCACCCCTGTCCTTTTTATTTGGGAGTCCCCACCCCTCTGGGGTTCCCCAGCTTTCTCTAGGATATGTGATGAATTCTAGAAAATTATTGTTAGAAATACTGAAAACATGTTTATTTATATTTACATTTTAGACAATAAAATTATTGGCAAGGAAAAGAATGGACAATCTCAATCTAGTTATAACTGTGATAATCAAAATGTAAATACTTCCTCGCATGATTATCACTCAGTAGTACTACATATTTCTGTGGAGTCATGAGACACCAACTTCAGTGTGTACTTTGTTATGCAACCAAGAAATTCCAGCACTATTTTTTTCTTTTTAACTTTTCCTTGGCAACACCTTTTACAACATCACGGTAGCTAATTTCTCATAAATTTATGCAACAACTTGTTAGTTTTAACATTGTCTATGTTGACTCATAATCACTATAAAAACCAAATCAGTGCTTTCCATAACAACCATATCTACAAGATCTTCAACAACCTCTTTTACTCTAGCAGCTTGATCATAAAGAAATTGCAGTCATAAGAATTTGTCACAGTAAAATAATTGACTGTCAATAAATGTACACCTCAAGTTTACAGTGTTTGAAGGCATGTCTGCATGATAGCCCTCAGGGCTAATGGATTTTGCAGTTCCAACGACTTACTTGGTCTTAGTAAATTGCATGCCTTGTCTGAAGGGCAAGCAAAGCTTTTTGGGATTATTTTGGGGGAAATCCAAATTAAAGAACTAAAAGTACTCTAAGAGATGAAATTACTGCTGGAATAGCCCTGCAGTTTCAATTTTAGTAAGAAATTTTAACATAGCTATAGTGAGAATGACTTCCAGGCTAGTACATCATAACTGCAAATACGTGCCCAAAGGGTGAACTTGAAAATTGATTTTCTTTGCACTGGTTTAAAGGTAATATTTGAGGGAAATGATATGTTGAAATAAAATAATTTTCCGTTGAGTTGTGCACCTTACAACCGAAAACTACATGTATCAAGTACATGAATATATTCCATTATTATATGGCTGAGTCTCACAAGGACTGGGAACTACCGAATTCATGAATTTTATTGGCTGAAATTGATATTGAAAGCAGTCTAGATTTTCCCATCTAGACCGGCATCTAGACCAGTAATGTTTTGCGGTGAAAAAGTTGCAAACTTAACTACAAAAATATTGACTTCTTTTTTCTAACAATACCTTTTTTATCGAAGTGCCAAAAAGCCTGATGAGAAAAAAAGTAAAGAGGACGAGCAAACTTTGGCAGAATTAAGTTCGACTCATCGCTATTTGCAAGCGAAACATCAGTTCCCTACAAACCAGTTACATTAAATGAATTAAATTGTTCTTGTTTCATTGCCATATAATAGACATCTTATTAACCGCTCGCTTAGTCGGTCTGTATGGAAGAATCTTGACCTTGGTCACGTGTACAGACCTCACTGCATTCGCTCTGTACTCACAACCTCAGTCAAGATTCTCCCATACAGACCTCCTGCTCGGTAAATAAGAGCTAATTAATATTCCTCAAAATTATAAGCCAAACCAGGTGTGAGAATCAGCACTTTCCTTTGAATCCCACAGATTAAAAACTCATCAGTATCCAGGTGACTCCAGGATACACACAATTTTGAAGAAAATGCTTAGTATTTGTTATTCCTCAGCAGAGATTCCAGGATAATCCAGGAATTTAGAAACAAATTTTTAAATGACTTAGAATAACAAACATTTCGTCACTGATCTGTGCTTTTCAGCAATTAAGACAGGAGATACAAGGGGGGCTATATTTACAGCATTACAATTGTGGCTTTTAAAATTCATAAAAAGGTATTAGTAAAAATCAAACTTATATATATGCCTGCTCAGTCTGAGTTATGTAGCAATATGTAAAATTTTGATTAAAATATCTGATTCAATGCTAATTTATTTTGTTTAATTAAAGTAATCTACTTGACTTAAATTTTATTTCATGTGAAGTTAAACTTCTGGTATCTACAGTAGAACCCAAATTTCTTGAACCTCCAAGGGAAATGAAAATTTATTATTGGTTTGAAAAATTGGGTAGCTCGAGAAATCGGGCAGAAAATGACAGTCTGCAACTATATTCAAAGGAAATGACCTTTGGTTCGAGTTATCAGGAGGTTCGAAAAATTGAGGGTTTTGAGAAATCAGAATTCCACCCTATTTGATTTCATCATCATCATGACTGTCGTCATGGTAGTGGTCGTGGTCAGGGCTACATGGCCTCATCATTGTCATTGTCAGCATCACCATTGTCATTGTCATCGTCATCATCATCATCATCATCATCATCACCAAGGATCAGTGCTAAAAGTTTATAATGTCAAGTTCTTAGCTACTGGTTTCGTAGTACCTTCGATAAATATCATTTCTCATCTGTACTACTTGCCCCTGTGTAAGCCCAACAGACTCGCTTAGCAACAATCGAGTAGGACCAATAACCAGTCTGTGCCGTGTCCATTGGAAGATATAACAATCAGGGGGTAGCTGATCTCCCACCCGTTCAATTACACTGCTAATATAACGGTGGAGAAAGTCATCAAGTGAATTCTTCTCGAATGATTCAAGCATCATCTTCTTCGATGCGCCAATAGAATTATATACTGGGATATCAGAAAGAAATTCACCAACATTTGGTAGTTCATCATTCTTAATGTCCCTGGTTATGATCTGATAAAGGCCAAGCAAAACGTGTTCCGGCGTCAGACCACGAGAGTCACGAGGAAACACAGAATCACCATGGTATAACTTCACGTTGTCGAAGCCATAGTCGTGTGCTGCAGGAGCACTTGGCCACAGGTCCATGGCGCAAGCGTCGAACAATTCATGTAGTGACGATTCCGGTGGAATACAGTTTGGTTTGTGTTTCTTCCAGTGCCGCTTTTGACAGGTTTTTGAACAGTAGTGTGCATGCTGGCATGCAGAACATCGCTTTGTCTCGCGCCTCTCCCCGCAGGAATAACAAATACCAGGCATTTTCTTCAAAATTGTGCGTATTTGCTTTAGGCATCGTGGAGCATCGTGTGCTTCTTTAGTGAGAGCGGTCGTTACTTTTATCCAGCGGAAAGAGACGAGAATACCATAATATTTTTCAAGCCACAGATTTAGCCTGGTATTCCGGTATGCATTTTTACTTCCGGTGAAAACGGTAGGTACGTCATAGCCCGGGGGGAACTCCCATATAAAAACTGTTGGGGGTGCTCGTCGGAAATTTTGAAGCGAACACCTAAAAGGTACCAGGATCTTCTTTTGTGGGTGTGGCTTGAATTCTGTTTCAACTCTATGAGTAATAAACCCCAATTCGAGTTATATACTGAAATGAAACCTTGTAAGAACTGAGCCTTTTAAGGTGGCTCAAAACAGTTTGATGGGTCGTTATAACCACTCTTTATCACTTGATGCTACAATCATGGTATCAAAAAACTGCCCAATCTTTGGTGAAAACGTTGTTATCATTTTCGTGACGCAATAGGTTACAATAGCAACGGTATGACCTCCTAAAAACACCCTTAATTACAGCTTTACGGGCTTGTGATTCAAAAATGGCACGGTGAATTTTTTTATATTATTAACTTTTGATAAGCATGATAAGACGCAACTTTTGGTAAAGTTTAAAAAATTCTGTAGGAAGGGTTCAGACCCACCTTAAATTCCCGAAAATCTAAGGTGGCTCTGACCTTTTTAGCTTGGGCGGTTTGTAAAAATGCCCCATTTAAGACCATGTGATAATACTCTTGAGAATTATTGCTTTAAAAATTTCAAATTATCGCGGGTACATGAATGAATAATTTTGAGATGGATTAAAGGACAATGCTCCAGAGAAAATCACGTGGTCGGAGATGGGAAAACAAACCACTCAAGCTAAAAAGGTCTATTGACGCCGTATTTAAACAGCTTTTTTGTTTTTGTTCTTTTACATATTTTGGGTGGACTAGCACGTATGGGGGGAGTAAAAACAGCAAATGTTCTCGCGCGAAACGGTACTGCATTCTTGGCTGTAATTCCCGCTTTAGCAAATGAATAGTTTGTAGAGATCAGTGTTTTCCGTCGGCTTTCGCAGTAGTCCTTTTGGCCATAGGTTTACAAAAGCTGGTCCCATCAATGCTCGAGTAACAACTGTAATTTTACAATGTAACGCAACTTTAACTTCTATTTTAACAA